GGTGAAGGGGAGGGGCAGGGGGGAGGGGAGAAGGGAAGGGAGCTGCGATTTGCCTGCCTTTGGTGTGGTATTTTATCAGAGAAAACCATGAAGTGATGAGAGAGGATAAAATTATCAATTGAGGGTGTTGCCTTGATCAAACACCAAATTCTCTCGCAATTTACTCAGAGATGTTTGAAAGCTAGAAGAGAGAATTGTGAACTGATCTTTGGAGTTGTCTAAAGGATTAAATATTGAATCAGTAAGCATACTTCCGGATTTTTGTTCATGCAGTCACATGCCTCAAGAAAAAAACCCTGATGTTTAAATTCACCTCATTTTAATATTGCTGACAAATTTTTATGTAGAATCGAATTCCAGTGAGAGGCAATCCACACATTTTGGTTGTTGGGGACCCAGGATTGGGGAAAAGCCAGGTGATTGGAATCAATACTAATATTAATAAACCATTTAAGTAAACTCTTTACACCAAGCTGGTGAAAATGGAAGCGTTCTGATACTTCCAACTTCGATTCGGTCGAGCTAATGACCCCTCTCAAGGCTCCGACTTGCCATTTTCATTTTTATTGCGTTCATTAAACATTTCTCAGGCATACGTCCAAGTCTTAAACCTCACAACCGTATTTCAACATTCTCGTCTAAACACAGCTATCGACCAGTGAGAGAGCCTATGGTATCTTAAATATTTTCAGAAAGAATCTGTAAACCGGTCTGTATTAACTTTGGTCGGGTGATAACAGTCAGGCTTAATGCTAAAGCATTGTATTTTTATTTTTACTTCTTGTGTGTGTGTATCTTAATGGCAGATGCTTCAAGCAGTGTCCAATGTCGCTCCAAGAGGCGTCTATGTTTGCGGAAATGCAACATCGACTTCTGGACTCACGGTAACAAATGTTAAGTGCTTTGCCTGGTCCATGATTTTTTCACACACGCTCACCTGATAGTACTGGATTGTGGACAATCTTTGTGTTTGTTGTAAAAAGGTTCATATGTATCCTCATACAGACGTTCAGAGCAGCGAAAATCAAACGGGAGAGTGGGACAATTGGAAGTTAACACCCTCTTGTTTTCCATTTGTAGTTACATGTGGTCTCCATAACCTGATAAAGCATCCGCTTGGAAACTGAATTGACCAATCAGGCAATGTGTACTAGGTTCATTGTGTAATAAGACGCTCATTATGTTATAATACGCGACAGAATCTCGAACTAATGATCTAATGATTGCTTAGTGCACACGAGGCTTCTGTGGTCATCTATGGAGAATCAATTTTCTTCCCTTGATAATGCGCTCAGAATGAAAGGCTCCAAGTGTGAAACAAACTAGATTACCAGTTAATGTATGTCTGGAGGATCTGCTCATCTTGTCTTCTTTAGGAACAGCAAAGTATAAGTATTGCAAAAGCCGGCGTTGTTTGCAGGTCAGTAATTTTAAAGGTGCATTTTTACCGTGTCGTCAATTTTATTTTTCGTTAAGAGTAACATGATAATAAATATAATTGCAAGGACAAACAGCAAGAGAAAAAAAAAAAGTAACATAGAACGGGAAAAAGACCAGTTGATATGAGACCAACCTGTTGAAAATGTACCAATCGGAGCTTAAAGAGTTAAACTCGGAACAACTGGTAACGAATCCGGTGAGTAGCAGTTTAGATGGCTGTTACCCGGGACCATCAGAGTATAACTCCACTGAACGAACATTTCTGCCCTGCTACCACCTCTGAGAAACTGGCTGAACCGGTTTCACATCAGTGTCTTCTTTCTCAAATTTTGCGCGTTCTCTTGACGTTTTTTGGTCAAGTGGAACTTTTTTGGTAATATGACAGAAGTCTCTGATAAACCCGGTTACCCAGACGACATTGTTGTCTACCCATGTGAATGGTAGGTTCAGTTCATCGCGTGCAGTG